CCAGTTACACTGCTTTACTCGAGAAAAACCCCCAGAACGGAAGTATAGTAATGTACAGTACAGTATAGTACATACACCCTCAAGTCCACCTCTGGAGCGAGAGATTCTATTTCTCGCCGGTGCACGATTTCTCTTCGCGAGAGCGATATCTCCACAAACTTCTCGCTCGCTACTATTCTTCAAAGTAAAAAAGTGTAAAGTCTACTTACGAAGCACGTGTTTCAATTACCATTTTTATTCTTATAATAGCAGTGATATGTTATCACTTGGCATTATCAATCAATCTACTTCCTCTACATGATATGAATACGTTAATTTCGGTTATTTTTCGCGTGATAAACACTCCTTGTTCCTGATCCTTTAAAGCTCCATTGTTGATAGGGTTTAATAAATTCATTATATTTTTAATACTTAATTATTTCGGCTCAGAAAATGATTAAAAATAAAACAAATCTGCATAAAATTATAAAGGAAAGTAAATGAATATTTATAGTATAATAATTTCGAAAAGATTTAGAAAGTGAATATTTAGTATTATTAGATAGAAACGGTGTAAAAATTGCTTAAATATTCGTTTAACATTGAATTTCGTCTCTAAAGTTGAGGCCATTTTTAAATTTTTTAAATTGACTCGAGCAACAGGAGCGGTTTTGTACCCTATTCTGAGGGTTTCACAAATAAAATCGGTCACCTGAGTCCATTGTATTCCTTCTAAGCCCTTTATAAAATCCACCATTGTCGAGCAATGAGTGACAATTTAGTGTTTGTGTAGTATATATTAGTATCATTACTCATTTTAAGTGCTCAAAGTTCTGTCATGACATTAATTAGGGCCCGGTTTGCACGTAATCTAAACAAGCTGCATCTTAGGGCCTCACGTTTTCTCATTTGTTGTAGAGGAAGGGTCTGTTGTAGTTAACTGCTCGTAATAAATCTACGTACAGCCCAACAATTTAATGTTTGTGTTACTCATAATCATGTCGTTTCCCATGCCATACCAATTATATCACTACTCATAATTCTTTTCGAGTATGAGTGACTTAAGTATTATCTATTGACTTTTTGACAGAACGTAATACAAGAAATTATTGACTTTCTGTCGCGTCGTTTCGCGTCGCATCGCATTCCAATTCATCATGTAGAATGTTCCCTGGTACTAACACACTACTTTTTTCTTTTTAAATTTTATTATTAAATTTACTTTTATTTAACTTTCTAACTATTTTTAGAATAAAATTTCGAATATAAAGGTACAAAAGTTTCTATTTATAACAAATTTTAATAACAAAGATTCATACAGTAGACATCCCTATAACACTAGATAATTCCGTGTTATATGAATTCCGTGTTGTACGAGTCACTTAGATTCCACAAATACGCGAGCCGTTCGCAGCCCGGCACACGTATTTGTAAAATCTAAATGACTCGTACAACACGGAATTCATATAACACGGAATTATCTACAGTGTTATAGGGGGTCTACTGTATTTATATAATAAAACGGTAGACAAATGAAACTAGTTTCATCCACTTGACGTTCATGGACATAGAATATACTTTAAAAAAATTATTATTTTAGGTTTTTCAAGCGAATAATTTCAAATTGAAATAATATTGAATTGTTCAGACCAATAAATGTAATGAAAGAATAAATATTTAAAATTCCCAATAATTATTTTAAAAAAAAGACATTAGAAAAATCTGATAAATTTCTTGAGGCAAGCGAAAACTTTTACTTATGGTAAACTTAATTATTTAATATTTTTAATGGTAGAGGATTTAATTTTTACCCGAAGGCGTATTTATTTTTATAAGACAATACAATTTTGTTTGGCTTTTTTTTTCGGCTTTGTAAATAATCCAACATTTTAAGGTAATCAGAAAAAAAATCCCATTGTTTTTTTTTCATTTAAAATCAATTATTCTGATGATCTAGAAGTTGATTTTTCATAATAAATTAAATATAAAATAGCAAATATTGAAGATTCCATTTTACAATTGATCAAATATCAAATGTTTTTTTAGAAATTTTTTCAATTAATTTAATTTAATGTTTATATTTATTTAAATCTTGTTTATTCTTCGAATAATATTCTTTTTAAATTTTTTTTTTTTTTATCAGAACTTCTTATAGAATTTACGTAAATCTTCTATGGTGCAATGTGAATTATACACTATAAAACCTCTGAGCAGTTGTCACGAACTGGAATATTTCAAATGGACGTTGTTTAGAGGTTATTTTGTACGCAAATCCACGAAGAAATGGTCGTTTTTGGAAGGTGGACGTTATTACAGGTTCAACTGTAAAACGCTAGCAATCATTTAGTATGGTTGAAAACTATGGATCATTTCGCAAAACATGCTGAATGTTCTATAATGGAAATGTATAGTACAGTTTTACGAATTCGTTTATCACGAAGTGTATTGTGTAATACGGACGATCGTTTCATTATTGGATTCTTCTTTTTGTATGATTTCTGTCTTTGAAATGGATAATGTGATACCAAGGATCGCTTTACTGTGATGCAATGTTGATTGTATTGTCATAATAGTCCACGTACTAATTAGGAACTCGTATCATACAAATGTATGCTCTGATCCTTTTATCATAATGCAACGCCATAGTTTTTTTTTTTTTTTACCATAAGAATACGTCAAACTACTAGGAATCTTTCTGTGTAATGGGTGCTTTAATACCAAGGACTGGATTGGATTGATGGAATAATACAATGAAACATGGATGATATACCTCTCGTGAGGACTTTCTATAAGAAATTGGCCCATATTTAGGTGTTAGACAAGCGAAGAAAACGCTGAAAACTAAACATGGCCAACTCGTTGGTCAGGCACGAATTCACGACCCAGTCTTATGTACTGTACTATACTTTAGTAGCCAGTAGTGGGAATAATAAAAAGGAACCTTTTATAATCTTATCTTCTTAATTCAATGCAAATAATTCTTTTATTATAACGAATGTTGTGATACTTCTATCGCCTTTTTATCATGATGCAGTACAAGGAACTCGTATCACATAAATGCATGTTCTGATACTGAAGATCCTATATCACGATGCAACACTTCTTTTATCATAAGAATTCGATACAATACTAGGAACCTTTATTGATTGGATGCTTTAACACCAAAGATTTGATTGATGCAATAAGCCAATGCAATATGGGCGATGTATCAAAGTATTCCACGAGAAACTGGCACCTTACTTAAGTGTTAGTACTTGAAGAAAGCCCGAAAAACTGCACGTGGCCAGCTTGCTGGTCAGATGCGAACCCATGACCCAGTGTTATGTACTTAGTAAGTAGTGTGGATAATACAAAGGTACCTTTTTATCATCCTATTTCCTTGATGGAATGCGAAGAATTATTTTATTATAACAAACGCTGTGATACTAAGGAACCTTTTATCAAGTAAAAATTATAAAAATAAATAAATTAGAATAAGTAAAGTTTTTAAAAGATCAATTTTAGATTAGAAGAGAAGAAAGAGAATAAAAATTCAAAGAATAAAATTATTATTCAATTGAAACGCAATTGGAATTATTCTTTTCTTTCACTTCTTTCACTCTATAAAATTTATAATAAAAGAAAATTACCTTTTTCGCAAAGTTTAATTACTTCAAAAATTAAACTTTATGCGATAAAAATCTTTAAAAAACTCAATTTAAAAACAAGAATACTTTTTTAAAATGTAGATAGTTATTATAATTTCGACTTTTTTTGGAATAATTTAATATACTTTATAGAAAATTTTATTTTTTCTTAAATTAAAAAGAAAATTCTACAAATCATAACTTTATTCGAAGGATTTTAATTAATTTGAATCATTAATTTTTCTTCTTTTTAATGAATTATAAAGTTTCCGGGTATTTAATTGGTATTTTATGCAAGACTTTTTGAGGCCCTAAAGCCCACTTGGGACCAAATTAGTTAAAACTATCGAACTATCTAATTTGGTCCCAAGTGGTAGTTAGTCGTGGGTTCGCTCCTCATCGACGAGCTGATCACGTGGAATTTCCCGAGTTTTCTTCACGTGGAACAAGTTTGCCTAAAATTTCTCTGTGGAGGTACCCCCCTTGTGAAAATTGCCCATGACTTGAGTTGCCTTCTCCCATTAATCCAATGTAATTGAGGACCCTAAAACGTCAAAACTAGCAGGTCCCTACTCTTCATCAAAATACAAAGGACTATAACTAAATACCAGGACTCATATTATCGTTTAAATTATGAGTATTTGTAAGATAAATTGAAAAGTATGAGGTATAAAATATAAGAAACTGAGGTCTTTGAAATGTCAGATTAAGAAAAATGACTGTGGACTGTGAAACATTGAATTATGAAATTGGACAGATGCAAGGCCTTAAATTGAGAGGCCTTATGTTATTGTATGTGAGAAACACGAGACTGTAAATTGTAAGGAATTAAGGTATGCAATTTGATAAACACGAAGATCTAAATGGGTACGAGAACCTTAAGGTAATAAATATGAGGAGCATACGAGATTCTTAATTGTAAAGGCCAAAAATTTTGGGCCTTTTACTGGTTTTCTTTGATATTTAACGACTGAAAATTCCTTATATAATTTATTTTCCATCGTGTAAACCTAGTAAAAATCTTAAATTTCCATGTATAGCAAGGAAAATATCATCTTATTTGTACAGTTAATATTGTTTTCTTAAAAAATAAACGTCATTTTTTATGAAACGGCATAAAATCCTATTTTTCTTCTAAAAAAATCTTCTTTTTTTAAGAAAAAAATTATAATATTTACTTAGAAAACGTTTACAAAACGGAAGATTGTTCCACTTCTTTGAAATTCGAATTTGATATTTTCTTCAAAAAATGAAAGAACGGTTCCTCTAAAAAGAAAAAAAGAGGAAATTTTGCTATTTTTAGGAAACGGTAGAATATTATTTTCTCGAAAAGCGGAAGAACACGTCGTTATTTTTATAAAAAACAAAAAGATGTGTCACTTTATATTGGTAAAATGGATCTATGCCTTTCTGTTTGAAGAGGAAGACTTATACTTTTGGAATGTAGAAAATATATAGTTTTTGTGGAAGAATAGAAAGGTATTCAAGTTATTTATAAAATACACGTTGTATATTTTTCTTTTTTAAAAAAAAAATTACATTTTTTTTTAAAGCGTGATACCTTAGAAAACTAAAGATTGTGATTTTTAGAAAGCAGCAAGGGTACAATTTTTGGAAGAATGATAAAGTATGGAGGTTTCTTAGAAAACTCACCCTGTAGTTAATAGAATAACTATAAACATAATCAATATTTGCTGTGGCACCTCTGTACCACTGCGGTACAGAGATGCCACAGTGGTAGTTACTCTTCATCCACAACCACTAATGACTGTGGATGAAGAGTAAACTCTTAGAACATATATATATATTTACAGAGAAACTAAAATTAGATGTTCTTTTCGGCAAAAATTCAGTTTTATTTCTAAGAATATGCGATTTTCTTCCTTTACACGTATATAAAAATATTGAATTAGTAAAGGTTTCTGCTCATTATACGATAACTAAAACCCGTTTTATTTTTATAAGTGATTAACTATAATAAAAAAAAAATTTTTTTTCGTTTTTATATACAGTAAAAATCTTTAAAACAAACAGAAAAATCCTTACCATGAATAAAAATAAAAGAAAAATCCTCACACTAATATGGACGAAGATAACATTGTGGTGAATAAAGGAGAGAAAAGAATGACCTAAATTTTAGTCATGCAATTAATTACATCCCTTCAAAAAGAAAAAAAGAAAAGAATTTAAGAAAAAAGAAACTAAGAAATTTGTATAAATTTTACTTAGAAGCCTCTTAAAGATAATTCTACTTTGCCAGACATAGCCGCAGTTTGAACAGATGATTAAACCTGAATTTTTTTTTTCTTTATTTTATTATTTTATTATTTTTTAGTTCTTTGCCATCAACTTTTCGAGAAAGATTAGCTATGATGGATGAGGAGGTTTGCTCACAAGAGCTTCTGTCGAAGGCCAAATGGTTCGTTTCTAACTTCAAAAGGGTTTGCAAGATTTTCTACTTGGTCGACGAAAAGGAAATTCCACCTTTTTTTTTCTCTCCCCCTCTGTAGATTCTAAAGTGTGTTTCAATGTCGTAAAAACTGGCATTACCTTAAAAAAAAACACGCGCACACACATACACACACACCAGCAGAAGCTAATTTTGTTAGTTACAATGGCGATCAATTAATTCCCTCTTTACAAAAGGGTATAATTCTTCTTCTACTAAAACTCGTTTAATATTTAATAGAGAAGAATTTAAACAATGATTTAAGAAGGAAAAAAATATTTATAATCGTATTATAAACATTAAAAACGAATTTAAATATTTCCCTCTCCCCTCCCTCTCTCCAAAAAATAAAATTAAAAAAGAAGAAGAAGAAAAAAAAAAAAAAACAATGGAAGTGGATAAAGATTAGTCCGTCATTTTTTTTTCAAATTTTAGACAAAGATTAATTGGTTTGGAGTCAAGATTTTTGATTTTTTTAAATATATATATATATGTATAAAATAAAATAATTCGATTATAATCCTTAATGATTAGCTTTATTGATTCTAAGATTTAATTATTGAAAGTTTTCATTTCGTCAATATAAAATAACTTTGCTTAAATTATATTTAATGACTGAATTTTTTTTCTTTCCCGAAGAGAGTGCAGTTTAAGTGTCTAGAAGAAAAGAAAAAAACAGTTGATTTTGATGGCTATTCAGTAAATATTTTTAGTTTTAATCAAGTTGTAATTGAGGCTTTAATTAGAATTTAAATAACGAAGATAATATTTAGGATTTGTCACTGTAAATTGTTCAAATAGTTGTTACCATTCTTATTGTTTTCCATTATTAGAATCGTATTATAATTTCCTGTAATTTGTTACCAGACAAATTAGGAGAGATGCAAAATAATGTTCTAATTTACTGCTATTTCTTTGGGTGTATTTATCAATTGAACGTGCACAGGATCCAAATTTTGTGGGAGGATGCAAAATTTTTCAACTAATGCCTTATCTTTTTCCTTATTAGTATATGCATTTATAATAAACTATTAACTGAATAGTTAAACGTTTCAAATACGTATACAGTAATGTGGACGTCTTGTAAATTTCAATGGGAAAGGAACTTAGGAGGGGCCCTAGAACCCTTAATCGTTGCAATTGTTTTAATTAGGTCTTTCGAGTATTATTTGTATAAATTTATTATCGTTTAATGTTTTAACGGTTTCTTATATTTAAATTTTTACAATAAGTGTCTTACGTATGTGATCTTCGAATGGTTTCATACATTGGAATTTTTCAATAAGTTTTCATGTTAGCTTTTCCAAACACTTTCTTACATTTGAATTATTTTAATACTTTCTTTTATTTGAGTTTTCCTAATGATTTCTGAGACTTATATATTTCCAGTGGTTCCTTACATGAAAGTTTCTCGTAACGGTTTCTCTTGCCCGAGTTTTCTAATGATTTCTTAAACCGAAATTCTTCCAACGGTTCCTTACACCCAAATTTCTCCTAATGGGTTCCTAAATTTAGACTTTTCCATGGTTCCTTACACTCAAGTTTCTCTTAATTGGTGCTTAAATTTAGAGTCTTTCAATGGTTCCTTACACCCGAGTTTTCCATATAGTTTCTCTCGCCCGAGTTTTCTTCACCTGAAATTCTTCCAATAAATTTTTCTCACTCAACTTTTCCATTAATAATCTAAGAAATCTTGCAGGATTTTAAATACGAGAAATCTAATTATTTAAACTCTCCCAATGGACTCTGAAATACAAACTCTTCTATTCGAACATTTCCAATTGTTTATAACATTCATCTTTAATTTATAACCATTGCAACTGCTTCGAAAGTACGTTTAATATTTCACTATCAATTTTTACTAATCAAATAGTAATTCGAATACATAAACAAACAACAAATAAACTTTAAAATATAGATAAACCTTAACGACGATAAACAATGAATATTTAAATATCTTAAACGACATTTACCCAGGGGTGGTAACATGTCTCGCACCATCTATCGCACAAATAATACACTAATATAACCCACCCGGAAATTTTCTAATAGAATTGGTACAATATTGACCAAGCAGGAGTAATTTATCTTCAAGGAAACATTTCTCCCAAGCTATTTCTTCTTAGTTTAGCTCATAAAATGCTATTTCAACAACAAGAAGGATTGATAGACTTTTCTAAACAATGGAACGTATAGAAAGTAAGAATAAAACTTCTACAGTAACAAATTAAATTGAATTCGGAATTCCTTTGCTGATTGCTCAATCTATTAGCCCTTGATTGGTTAAGGTGGAAGTCGAAGTAACATGATTTTGCCGTTGACATGATAACTTTACTTCTTTCATCTCCCCCTTCTTTTTTTTCGTAGCCTTAATGGAGAATAGCTTAGGATCAATTCACTTTTTTCGGGTAATAAACCGCGCTCGTAGCCATGTTTATGTATTATCAACCTGTATTTTTTAGACAATTTTCATCGAATAAAAATATATATATATATATATATTTCACCGTTTCTTCTTTTTAATCTCTCGTGTTATCAACTCGTTTCGAGTGCCCTTACTTACTTAAATCTGTATTACACGTAATTCGATTACTCATAGTACGTGAAATATTTTAAATTAATTATAATTAAATTCTGTTATAAATGAATAATTAATTTGCAATATAATTAAATGGTTAATTAGCTAATTAGCATAAAGAAATTAATGATTATGGTATGCCGTTTCGTTGCTGTATTTAGAAATGTCCTCGAATCTTAATAAATTCTTCTCTTAAAAGTTTTATATGATTAATTTTTTTAATGAAAATTTGCAAAATTTATGGCTTTTTCTCATAAAAAACTGAATTTTATATAGGAAAACTTGTCTAAGACGGAACACGAGAGATATTGTGGCTTTTTTTTCTCTTCAAAAAAACAACTGGATTTTATATAGTAATATACCAAATTCCGCTTTACTCAGGTGCGTAGAGAGTATTTCGTTTCCGCGTTAGACAGGTTTTACTGTATATTTTTTGGCCAACAGAACTATATTTTATATCATTTCCTTGCATTTAATTTAATTAACTTTAAGTTTTATGCAAATTTCGGGTGGTGGAGCAAATTTCTATTCTTACTTTCTATTGTAATTTTACATTAATTTAATTTATATATTTCAAATACAGTCAAACCTGTAAACAACGGAACGGCCTCTTGCAGTAACATAAGAAATATTGAGAGATTGGGAGGTTATTTCCTATGCATTTTTATAAGAAAAATTACTGGGGGCCGTTATTTAGAGGTTATTTTGCGTGCAGAAATATTTCTTGAAAAAAAAACGGCCGTTGTATAGAGGTTGCCGGAATTGGAGATTCGACTTACATTTCGTAAATACATATTTTCATTTATTTTATTTATATTTTTGGGCGGAGTGTGACATATTTTTAATGATTTCACTCATTAATTTTACATTTATTCGTTCGGAATTTGATTTTTGGGCGGAGAAAAAAATATTTTTTGCATTTTATATTCATTCATTCATTATCCAGTTTTAATGAATTTGGGTGGAGCAAGCTACGTCTTCACTTTCATTCACGCAATTTCTATTTATTCGCAGTAAAACCTGTGTAAACCGGAACATATTTTCGTTTCGGCAGGATTCCGTTTTGAACGGGTTTTTCTTAACATAGAAAATGGCTCCTTTCCAAAGAATTTTTCCCATTTAGGCATGTTTCCATTTTAGACAGGTTCATTGTACTTACGATTATTCGCTAATTTATTATTGTTATTATTAAAATGAAATTCGTAAATTAGAATTTTCAGTAGGAAATTTACTTAAAATAACTCAAGGAAATCAAGCAACGAGTTGCATAACTTTCTCGGCTAAGAGTTAAAATTGTGTATGGCTCCATCTGTTGCGAAATTTTATTTTAAAAAACTTATTTTATTAATTATTACAAGATGCAAAAAACTTAATTTTCGGGATAGAGACGAGTTTTATATTAAAAAAAAAAATGTAAATGCTAAGTTCAACCACTCGAGATACCACACACGACCCGCTGTATCTCCCCATTCCCTCGACCTTTAACCTCCAAAATTTAACAGCATCAAATCCTCTAATACACAAACCTTACTGCAAAATTTCAGGAATTTTTGACAAAAAGCACGTGAGTTATTAAGTTTCAAAGTGAGTAAACAAAATCTCTCCCTCCTATACATACACATACATACATATAGAAAAATCACCAAATATTTACGTTTTCAGGTCACCACGAGTCCAAAAATATAAAGAATCTTGGTGTGGGGGATTATTTTTGACAATTTTCCTCTATTATAAACAACAGCATGGGGATTAAAAACGAAGATCGAAATCAAGAATTAGCAATAAAAATCAAGTTTAATTTCTAAAAATAAATTTAATAAATGCAAATTTATTAACGTCAAATAAATTTATTGACTCGTCTCTCAAAACTCTTATCTTAAATTGATCTAGATACGAATTGGAAATGAGCAGAAAACAAAAGAAAAAAACAAGGAAAAAATTGGAAGAGGATGCTGAGGATGCGGAGGAGCAGCAGCAGCAGCATCCCATCTTTAGCTCGCAGATAATCAAACACTGCGATATCTCAGCCTGTTACAGTTAATTACATTTAGGTCTTATCGGCTTTTAGTGTACGCTCCACTGCATGAAACCAGGTATAACAAACGAAAGAAAAACGTTAAGCGACGTAATAATGATGTAATTAGTAAGTGTAAAGTTGATCTTCAAAGTCTTTGGCCGTCTATCAATGTGTATAGTAAGATAAGCCACGACTTGATCATTCTTCAGGGAATATCACCTGCTAACTGTGTAAGAGGGGGGTATAAAACTTCCGAGAATTTCCTAAACTAAATTACAAAATATTTTGTATTTTCTGGTGTTTCCGACAATACTTTTCCCTTTTCTTGTCGAGTGAAAGTGAAACGGAGAAAGGGAGACAAAAGTAAAGCACTCGTGGGACTACTGGTGTAGAAATGATAAGAGGGATGTGTTACCCAATTAGAAGCTTGGATACAACGATGTACAGATTGGAAAGAAAAATATCACTCCGCTATTGTGGGGTGAGAAAGTAAATTATTGCTTTGTTGGCCCCCCTCCAACTATTATTGAAGAAGTTATAGTGTGCTTTTTTGAAAATATTACAGTTTTTCCTTTTTTTCCCCTGCTGCTTTTGATTAGTGTAGTGACGCGTGAGATGCTCTTTCTTTCTTTCTTTATCGTGGTAAAGCGTTGTAGTAACTTACTTCGCTGTCTGTCTTCATTATTTCTTTTTATTGTGAGAAGTATAACCTTTGTTATTTATTGCCTTCCTTTTTTTATATCTGTAGTGTATTTATAAAGATGCTGCACCTATAGAATCTGTAGGAGTTTCTATACATTCTTCTTATCTACGGATTCTTTATACAGGTTATATAAAATCTACTGGTTCCTTACACAGGTTTTGTAGATTTTACAATTCTTTATACAGGTTATAGATGATCTACAGTTCTTTATACAAGTTTTGTAGGATTTACAGGTTCTTTTATGAAGTTTCTAGCTGTAAATCTACTGAAAAAGTCAAAAACCGTCAGCTCAAATTACAAAGAACCAGTTAAAAAAAATTTTTTACCGATGTTTTACTCCACTGTTTACGGGTGGCCGTTATTACAGGTTCGACTGAACTTTACTTTCCTTCAAAAATTTTACAGCGAATAAATTAAGCCGATCGAACCTTCGAGCAACGGCCATCGACGAGAACATAAAAAAATGTCCGTTGTTCGGAGGTTATTTCATATACATCCGATACAAAAAAAAAAAAAATTCCGGAAAAGAAAATATCCACTTGGTCGTTACTGAGAGGTGGCCGTTTTAAGAGGTTGGAATGTATCAGTTTCCAATTGAACAGGAAAAGAAGAAGAAATTATGTTTTGATTTTGTATTTTATACAGTTTTTTTGTTTGTTTTCCTCAGATATTAAAGAAGGAAAACATGAAAATAAAAGATTTTTTTTTCTTTTGGAATATTTACCTAAACCATTATTCTACTTTGGAATATTCAAAGAAAGAACTTTCTTATTGATATTCGAAAATGTCCGATTTAATAAAATATATACAAGGAAAAAAAAATAATAATAAAATAAAGAAGAATAAATGTAACGATTGACATTAGTTTGGAGGGAAGGTCGAGTTGTTTTTAGTCAGTTTTACAACTTTGTCCTCCTGAAAAACTTGACAAAAATCAATAGAGAAAGTAGCTCTGTATGTCGCTCTATATATTTATTACTGAACGAAATTCTGCCTTTCAGTTTTTCTGTTCGATAAAGGACGTTAGAACGATTTATCCTCTAAAAAAAAATAAATTTAAAATGCATCTATAAATCTTTTTTTAAATATATATATTACACACAGACACACGCACGCACGCTCCCATCAGATGAAGTAATCTAAAAAAAAACAGCAAAAATTACGTTTTTAATTATATTTTTAATTTATTTAATTTAAAATATATGCTCTCGATTTCAAATTAGTAATTCATTGCCCCTGTAAATCATACTTTTCCTGATAACAGCGGAGTCGTGCAGGTCATCTTAGAAAGAAAATTTTTGAATTGAAATCACGTGACTTCCGGTTCAGGCCCTACGTTGGCATATTGTTAATTGTGGCCTTTTTCTCTAAGCTTTCATCTATTTAATACAATTTTATTAAATTGAGGCTCATTACAGTACGTAATTAACACTACGATACGCTTTCCTTACGTGATTTATAAATGAAATTCGAGCTCCAAATATTAATTTTAATCTTAATTAAGTTTAATTAACTCAGTTATATTTATAACCCGATTAAAGTTGAATGGAGGATCAGAATCTTTGGAATGGAATCAATTGCTTCGCGTACAAATTAATTATGTAAATTGATTGGGAATTTAATTTTTTTTAAAGATATTTTACAATTTATTTAAAGATTTGATCGTAAAAATTGTGAAAATTTCCATGTCTTTAGAGTGGCAGTACGTAAACCACCCCTTGGGGAGAGACATAAAACATTCAAAGAAATGGGGTAATTATTATACGAAGAGAGAAGTTATGAAAGTGCAAGAAAGGTATAGAAGATCGTAAAAAGTGCTTTATACCCAGAGAAATGCAGAATTGAGACTTTGGTTAAGAGACGGAATCTGACAGTAAAGTTGAGAAGACAATCCCAAGGGTGCAAGAAATCCTTTAACTCGATTTGCTGCTCACTGAACGAATTAATAGCTTAGAATATGACTTTGCTTCTTTTGTGTTCGCCCCTCCCCTTCTTCTTGTGAATGGTTTTGTATTTAGTTATTTCCTGTTTGCATGTCTACAAACACCCACTCCACACAACAGCATTGAGAAACTTTTATATTGGTACTTGCATTCTTCAAGCACTCTTTGTACGTAAACCAGTTATATCTTTCTTCACAATCTTCGATATTCCCACGTTAATTTTTTTCTCTACGTGGATTTTGAACTTTATTGTACATTTTTTACATTGTGTTTTCCAATATTTTTATCTTACTTTGTAGGTTTTTTATACAGTTTTATACAGTTGCCAGAGATCTTTTATATACAACTTGAGGATTACGTATCTAAGCACCCCTTACACATATTCTTATGCTGTTTAACTTTTCTTGATTATGTTATAAACGTTTAGAGCATCTTTAACGTGTAAAATTACACACAAATAATACAAATAATACACGTAATTTATGAGAATTGATGCTTAAGATCGAAGGACGATTCAAGTGATGAGCCCCTGGAAACCGATCATTAACTAATCATAAACGTCATAACGATGAGCCGAGAATAATCAAATTAATTTTTAACCATTCCGAAACGTAATTTGGACTAAGAAAGACGTTGCAGATCCATCAGGAAATGTTGCAAATGTCCAGATTTCGCTTAACGAATTGCAAACGATGTTTGAATCCTAACTTTATGACATCAAACATCGATCTGAGGCAGGCGTTAGTACCAATTCGCAGAGTGTTTATTAAAGGAAAGAATCATAAAACCATTGAAGCATCTTCCTCTTTGTTAATTTGCTAACCGTTGAAGCAATCTGTTTAATGTATTTTGACATCTTTTACAACTTTTATATCAGAATTTATTCTGGCGTTATCAAACTAATCAACACTCAGCAATCCCCACCAAAACACGAGATTTTTCTTGGAATTTTTTACTGTGTTCGACACTAAAATTTTACAAATATTTACATTTATTCACGATAAGAGATTTTTCATTTATTCCTTAATTTAATACCTTTCCGAGTTATTATTTATTCTGTCCAATCAAAATGCGTTTCTCTTCTTTTCTAGTTGCTTCATTTCCCCATAGTTTCTTCATTCTCCTCTTAGTTGTTTTGTTTCTTTCCTAGTTTCTTTTCTTTCATTCCCCTCCTAGTTGCTTCATTCTTTTTCCACTTGCTTCATTCCTTTTCCACATGCTTCATTCCCCTCCCAGTTGCTTCATTCTTTTCCCACTTGCTTTATTCCCCTCCTAGTTGCTTCGTTCTTTTTCCACTTGCTTCATTCCTTTCCCACTTGCTTCATTCCACTCCTAGTTGCTTCATTCCTTTCCTACTTTCTTCCTTCCGCTCCAAGTCGCAAGAAAGAAGAAGAAAGTAATTTTATAAAAAAAAATTTTTAAGAGGAAAGGACTCATTTTTTAATTCCAAGAGAGGTAAAAAATCACTCCTTCATATTTTACTTAACTCCGGATTAAATCTGCACGTTTTTATTATTAAAATTTGATGAGAAAACGGGAGGGATTCCGCACCCCCTTCGATTGTCAATTGAAAGACATTCGTAATGAAAATGGCGGAGATTTAAAAAAAAAATACGCGAAGAACATTTAAAGATAATACATCTCTTTGTCTAACAAGTACTTGTCAAGGAGCATAAAAAACCATTATCGCATCTCGCGTATCAAAAAATAATTGTTTTTAATCCTGCCGTAGGAGTTTGTTGAGACAAAGGAAATTACCTCTTTGCAATAATTTACTTTGGTTTTTCCACCGAAAAAATTTTTTTTCCTCCTTTTATTTTTTTCTCTCTTTTTTATTCTTCGTTTTTTTCCACTGCAGAAAAGGAGGAAAAACATAGATTAGATAAGCAAACAATCTATTTCGACCACTTACACATCTTTTTTAATGTGAAATTTTCATTCTATTTCTATCGAGAATTGCTTTAAACTCTCATTAAATATTAAGGAAATGTTTTTTTATGATAATGGATTGTCCCCTGCTCTAATGCCCTTTTACTATTTTGGAAATGATCGAGTTTATATTTATGTGTAATAATCAAAAATGCCTTCTTTACTCCGGTGTTAAATTAAAGGTGACTCGTAAGGAATTTATTTTAAATTTACCTTCCTATAAATCTAGATGATGTTGAGGAATTTTTTTTTCCTCCTACTCCTCTAATCTAATGAGTTTTTCTCACTTTCTTTAGCTTAGTGAATTTTATTCATTTTCTTTCTAACCTAGAGAAAGTTCTTCTCTTTCTAGTCTAGTGAATTTTCCCTTTTTCTTTACATTTCTTTTCTCTTTTTTCTTCTTAGTAAAGTTTTCCTTTTTTCTAGCCTAATAATTACCTTTTTTGTTTTTCTTAGCCTGGAGAAATTTCCATGTTTTTTCTTAGCCTAGTGAATTTTATTCAGTTCATTCCAACCTAGTGGTGTTTCCTTTCTTCCTTCTAGTCTAGTGAAATTATCCTATTTTAAATCCAAGTATATTTTCCTTTCTTCCTTCTAGTCTAGTGAAATTTCTCTTTCTCTTAATCTAGGGAAATTTACCTTCTTTCTAGTGTAGTTTAGTTACTTTTTCCCCTAACCTAATGAAGTTTCGCCTTCCTTACCCTAGTGAATTCTTCTTGTCCTAGTGAGTTTCTTTCGACTTACTTCCGTATTTAGTGAGTAATTTCTTACTTTCTCTCTATCCTACTTGATTTTTCCACTTCTTCCTTAGTCCTACGTGACTAACGACTACTGACATTTTGTGTTACTTTTTCTATTCTAGGAATTTTTCCACTTCTTGTAAGTAGAATATGCATGGAATATACACTGAAATTTTCCCGTTTATTAGTTGTACTCCTTATATTTTATAGGAAAATTCGAAATTTCATGAATTATAAAAGTTACAATCGTTAAAGGACACTTACATCTACATAATGGTTCAATGATACACGATAGGGAGGAGTTACAAGCGTTAAAAATTTCCATTGTGAATAGTTTCCACTGTCTACTGTATTCTAGTTTCCATTATTAATAATAGTTTGGTTGCGATTATTGTACATATAAATTTATAGTTTAGTAGATTAGAGTAAACAAACTGTAACTGTAAATTTCTGAGTTTTCGAGTACTTTCATAATTGCCCTTCATTGTAAATCCCTTTAATGGCTACACTTCGTTAATAATTAATTCCCTTAAATGATTGCATTTCATTAAAAATTCCCTTCAATAATAATTGAAGATTTCTTTTAATTATTGCCTTCATTAAAGATCCTTCAATGATCGAAAGGCACTTGAATGGGGTGAGTAAGTGGAAATGTTAATAACAATTAAAGAAAATCTTGAATGAAGGGCAACCAGTGAAATGAAGCTTCAATTTTCACAAAGTGCCATAGAAAGCAAGCTTCAATTTCAAGAAACTTTAACGAAGAGCAACCATTATAGTCTTTTTAATTAATGCTTGGCCCTTCGTTAAGGGGTGTTTCTCCAATAACTGAAAGCGGACTTCAATAATAATTGCCCTTTATCGATTGCCATTGGCTTTCAATTATTATCTTTCGTTAAAGATTTTCTTCGTCGAGATTCCTCTGAACGATCGCTCTTCAAAATTTCCAGAACGATTGCTCTTCTTCAAAACTTCTTTTCAATAATAAATTCCTTTTCATTGAAGATTTCTTTTAATAATTACTCTTCGTTAAAGATTCCTTTCAATAATTGAAAAGAAATCTTCAACGAAAGGACATTTATTATTGACATTTTCTATTTAATGATTGCCGTTTACTTTCACTTTAAGAGCTCTTTCAATTATTGAAGGATACCTTTAATGAAAAAGCAACTTCCTTCCAAAGAAATCTTCAAATAAAAAGGAAACTATTGAAAGTAATTTCAAAGAAGAGCAAGTTATTAAAGGGCAAACATGCCCTTCATTAAGTGGTTGCCCTTTAATTAATCGCAGTAGAACCTGCGTAAATCGGTATTATTTTTTTTCCGTTTTATTCAAGTTCCGTTCTATACAGGTTATTACTTTGATGAATTTTCAAAACAAAAGTAATTATTTTTAGACACGTGACTTATAATCTTATAAATAAGAATATTTTGGTATTATTTTACATATTTTTCTATCCAGAAATATATGAATGATAGCATTTCAAAAATGTTTTAATAATTTAGTATTTACTTCCAAAGAATTTCTATCATTGAAAATCTGATTTTGAGAGGGTCATTGAAGTTTATTTTCAAATATTTATGAATATATAAATATAAAATATTTGTTAAATTAATATAAGTATATTTATAAATCATTAAAAACCAAGTTTTTTTAATAAATTATTATTAATTTGAAGTAGTTTTGAAAGGATTTTTATCTTGGTAATTTCATCTCTATCATCTTAACTTGCAATTTTATCAGAAGAGAGAGGGGAGAGGGAGATAGCGAGAGAAAGAGAGGTGAGAATAGAGAGAGAGATAGATGATTGAGAGTACAGAAAACGAGATGAGAATAGAGGAAGAGATGTAAAAGTAGAGAGAAAGAGAGACAATATTGAAAGAGACTGGAGAGAGAGAGATGATTGAGAGAGACTGGAGAGAAAAATGATTAAGATAAAGTAGAGAGAGATATGAGGAGAAAGTAGAGAGAAAGAAAGATCAGAATAGAAAGAGAGATGATGCTAAATTTAGAAAAATATATCATCGTTATCATGTTAAATTCTTAAAATTAAATAAAATAAAGAAGTTTAACTTATTAAATTAGAATTCTGTAAACAATTCTGCACCGTGAAGATCTATAGAAATGTATTCTACTAGAGTTCACGAATTTAAAAAAAACAACAAAAAAAAATTGTTTATCTCGATCGAGTTTATTTTCGAAAATATTTCTTTGTCGAGAAGTGAGAGAGGAGTATTTTATAAAGTGAAACAAGGAGCAAATAAAAAGCTAAAGTGATAATGAATTCTTTTCTAGAAAGAGAAAGTGTTTTTGCTTCACATCATCGATCGTTTCTTCGCCTTGGGAGAAAGTCGTTACCTACTCTCTGCACGTTGTCCCACATCTCGCCAATTACCTGTGACATTTTGCTGATGAGTAGAACAAATATCTGCTTCGCTTCTATTCTCTCCCCTCTTGGGAATCTGAGAAATGGCCAAAACTTGCCAACTCAATACACCATTCCGAAATATTAATTGAGAAACGGGTTGTTGCAGACCGAATTACCGCCTTTGTTTACTTAACTTACTCTTTGTTTAAGTGTTACGTGGGTTATAATACATTCTAAGCCACAACTACTGTCCCACTAAATAAATACCTAATCCTGATATTCTGTATAATATATCCCTGACGTACGCCACATTTCCACCAAACAGTGAGAATTTAACAAATGCCACGGTATTTTGGAATCTGTATAATTAATTTAAGGCAAGTTTTCGAGTAAAATAAACCGTACCACGCATAGAAAAATTGTCAGATTACTGATTTATGCATATAAATTATACATCTATAGTAGATGGGTGCGATGATTTATGCATTGAAATCACAGATCAATAGAAAGATAAAGTATTGCGATTGCTCTCTATCGTAGATGCCCTCCCTCCTTAGTGATTTACACTAAAGAATACAGGCAATAGAAATGCAAAATACCTAAATTCTGCTGGAAAAAAGTAAGAACTTGAAGCAGTTTAAGCGTAGCAAGAAGATAAGAAGTTCCTTAAACAAGACAAATTACAGTTTCAACTAATGTCTGGCATTATCTTTATCTTCGTTCGCTCTCATAACAGAGATTTATCCAGAAATTAATCTAAGATCGGGAACCGAAAGTTAGAAGAAAATTAATAATTACCTTTATTATAATGAAGACACTTAAAACAACCAACTTTAAACGCGTGTTTAATTAATATTTAATATATATATATATTAAAAAAAGTATATAATTAATTGTATTTACTTTGTTATTAAGAGGTTCCTTTTAAAAAATAATAATAATGATAATAAAAACTGAATGATGTAATTGACTTTTCTTTATCTTCGGTATTCTTGACAGAAAGGGAATTTTTCAACCGTCACATTTCTAAGCCCACTTAGAAGTAGAAGGCCAAAAAGCAATCTTCTGTAAATCTCTAGTGTCAGCAACGTTATCTTTTCTTCTTTCAGGTTCATTTTAAAGAGAAGAAGATCGTCTCAAAATGTGAGCGTCAGACTATGAGAATAAAATGCACCGCTAACTTTTTCTTTCAAAATCTTTTTCCTCCATGTTAAAAGGTAATGGCACTTTCTTTAAAAAAGAAAGAAAAAAAAACTTAAATCTACTCTCCATTTTATTATTTTCTCCTTCCATCAACAGTAGAATTAAAACTTTACTTCTTCTTTACAGATGCCAATAGAGACTACCATACTGGTAGTTCTTCTTCTACCTTTTTTGGAAATCTCTTCGGAGCCCTGTTTTTTTAATCCATTATGCACCTGCACCTTAAGCCAAGCTGACATTATGTGTTTAGGTGTGCCGTTTTCTTTTCTACCGGACATACCTACAGACGAGCTTTACCAGTTGAGCATCATGAAGTCCGATTTGCTCTTGCTTACCAACGATTCGTTGAAGGAAAGCAAAATATCTTCGTTAAGAATAATGCATAATAAATTATCTCAGGTCCTCCCCAAAGCTTTTAAGGGTACGGAACATTACTTAACTTCCCTGGATTTAAGTTTCAATAGATTAAATGAGATTCCTAGTTTATCCATCAGGAAGCTCTACCATCTTCAATGGCTCAGCTTGCATAACAATGACATTGAAGAAGTGAAGACGAGAGAGGTGGCGAATTTCGGCTGTAAAAACACGTTGAGGAGTTTGTTTCTAGGTGAAAATCACTTAACACAGATTAAAGATGGTGTTTTTAGCAAATTATCGGCGTTAACTTCTCTAGATCTCGACAATAATTTGATTACAGAAATCGAAGGGAGGCCTTTTCCGCCATCTTTGGTTACACTTACACTTTCGCACAATCAACTAACCTCGGTGCCTTTGTATGCTTTATCAAATCTAAAAAACCTCAATTGGTTTCAAATAGGTGGTAATTTATTTCACGAAATCCCCCAAATCCTACCGATACCGGTCAAACAAATGGAAAAGTTAGATTTCAGCAATAATTTAATAACATCACTTCCTGCAAACTTATTTAATTCGTCTTTCAACATACGAGATTTTCATTTAGAATTTAATTTTCTTAAAACATTAAATAATTCAACTTTTAATGGATTAAAACTGGAAAGACTTTCCTTATCGAACAATCGATTGTCTTCCTGTTCTTTAGATTCTTTTCTTGGATTAGAGTCAACTTTAAGAACGATCGACCTCAGTTTTAATCTGTTTTCTGAAGTTCCTTCTTGCCTCTTTAATCTCAATCAACTCACGCATCTTTATTTACGTGGAAATTTCTTGAAAAAAATTAAGCAGAAAGATTTCGGACGTTTTAAAGAAGTGCTTCAAGTTTTGGATCTTTCGAGTAATCTCCTGAAGAGGATTCCATCCGAGGCTCTAAACTCTTCAATGAATCTTTTACGCTTGAGTTTGCAAGACAATCTCATATACCAGATCGACAAAGACGATTTCATCTGGGCCGAATCACTCACCAAACTCAGTTTGGCCAGCAACAAGATAATGGACCTCTCCGAAGACGTCTTCAGCCATCTGAAGAAACTCAGAGAGTTGAGGCTCTCCTACAACATGCTCACTTTTGTTGATCCTCACTTCTTATTGCCGATTTCTGAAACCATAGAGATGTTAGATTTCAGTTATGCATTTACGGAACACGTAACACTGCCAAGGATTCGTTTCGAAGAGCTTCGTAGATTGAAATGGCTCCAATTGGACCACAACACTCTCAGCAATCTCACCGTCTCACCTTTAATCAGTCTTCCAACCCTTTTTCATTTTGATTTGGAGGGTAATCGTCTGAAAACTGTCGATGGTTTGTTTCCTGAAAGCACCCACAAACACGTGAACAGTTTACTTCTATCCAATAACGACATAGACGTGATCAATAGTGGCACATTCACCAAATTCCCGTCTGTCACCAGTATAATTCTATACAACAATAAAATCAAAGCCATAAGAGAGGATGGATTTAGAGATATGAAACTCTTGCACACTATAGTTTTAGCCCATAATCAATTAGTTTACGTGGAAGATGGAAGTTTTAGAAATTTGAACCATTTAACTAACGTTTTCTTGCAGGATAATTTCCTGACCGTTTTTTCGCTCAATATTTTCAATGGAAGTGGTGATTCCTCCAACCCCATGTATCTCAATTTATCAAATAATGACATTAGAGAATTAGTGGTGTCACCGGAATACGAATTAGAAGACGATAATTTAGAGGTTAGAACTTTGGATTTAAGTCATAACAGCATATCAATTATACCCGAAGGTTTCTTGAGTCCAATGGGAGAATCGTTGTTTAACTTGTTCCTTTCCCATAATTCGCTCTCCAATATAACATACGAGGCCCTAGCAGATACTCCATTGTTACAGGTAAGTTCTAAAGTTAATATGCTAATTTTTTTCCGCTTAGAAATATACCAATTAATATAATTTTACACCCCATTAAAAATATTATTAATCGGCCTCTGCATGATTTGAAAACTTTATTAAAAATTAGCAAAAAAAAGAATGTAATTAATTAATTTTTTTAATGTATTTTTAGGTGCTGAGGCTGGATCACAACTACTTCACTTCATTGTTCTCCCACGTCTTTTATGGTTGCCCCTCATTACAGATCATATCCCTGAGTGACAATTACCTAACAGAGATATCTGCCCAATTATTTTCCACTTTACAAAAATTACGAATCGTAGATCTAAGTGGAAACAATCTAACAACACTACCGGATGATTGTTTTACAGGAACTAAACTCCAACAAATTAATTTATCAAGGAACTCCATTAACAATTTCCCTACAAATTCGTTTCGTGGTGTGAAACACAGCCTGAGTTTGGTAGATCTGTCGTACAATCTCGTGCAATCTGTAAAGGGATTAAGTCAATTAAGAGCACTTCAATCACTAAATTTGTCTTCCAATGCAATCAATCATTTGATAGATGGCTCTTTTTTCGGCCTTGATAACCTACTAGAGCTAGATCTATCGAATAATCTAATTGGGGAATTGGATCCTGAAGTATTTATGCCATTAGAAATGCTCAAATATTTAAATTTAAAGAACACCAACCTAACCCATTTACCGATTTTACCATTAAAAAGTCTACGAAATTTAAAAATATCCAGGAATTACCTTTATAATTTATCTGATCAATCTTTTATTCATCTGGCAAATCTTAGACATCTCGACTTATCCAGAAATTATCTTCGAGATGTCCCACGACATATTTGGGTCAGGATACCCGATCTATCATTCCTTGACATATCTCATAATCCTGTTGAGATTCTTACCACAGCAAGCTTTGTTGGGCTTCGTCGATTGATCTATCTCGATATAAGGGGTTTACATTTGAAATTTCTCGATTCTGGAACCCTCTACGGACTCAGGTAACTCTTAATTATTATTTTCTATGTCTAATTTATTAATTTTAATCATCAGAAACTGTTACAGCTTAGATGGGATGTGCTATCACACCAACCATATTTGCCAGATCACACACTCTCTATCGAAGTCGGATTTAAAAAGTGAATTCACTTGTATTTCTTAAAGGTTTTTTTAAGGAAAAATTTTTTAGAATTTATTAATTTTAATCATCAGAAACTGTTACAGCTTAGATGGGATGTGCTATCACACCAACCATATTTGCCAGATCACACACTCTCTGGTCTTTACAAAATTTTTTAAACTGTAAGACATTTACTTGAAATGAAAATGTCAAAAATTACTTGCATCCGTTTTTTGTAAGCAAACATCAAAACTTTTATAAACGTGGAATCATGCTACTACTACCAGAAATGATAGCAACAGGTATTTGACCAAAATAGTCAATATATAATTCACTAAAATATTTATTTATTATAAAAATATTGTTTTTTTCCTATGGAAAAAAAACGAAATTACTTTCCGAACAACCCAATATATTAAAAAGATGACATTTATTATTATAGGTTTCAGCTATATTTCAATAATATAGCTGAAACCTATAATAATAAATGTCATCATTTTAAAAGTTTTGAAATTTTAGTTTTTGAACAAATAAAAATTTAAATATATTGTATGAATTTCTGATATTTATTTTTCATTAAATATGAAGCATGGAACGATGTTTTCTAATGTATTATTATGTCATAAAATAGTAATAGTCAATTTTAATCCAAATGGCTTATTCTGATTTTAAGATCACATGATTCTGCTAATTCATACATTATGATTCAAAGAATAACAGAATTATATTTTTGTTATAAGTATAATGCACAATTTTATAATTAGTTTTATTACAGACAAATGCATATAATTAATTTTTTATTATGCAGTGGACCCCCTATAACGTGGTAGATATGTTCCACTTTATAATAATTTCACGTTGTAGGAATCCTTAAATACATGAGCCAATCACAACCCGACATGTGTGAAGTTTACGGACTACGGCTGTTTGAAAGGTTTTCTTCCATAAAATTAATNGAACGGCTCACGTATTTGTAAAATCTAAGTGACTCGTACAACATGGAATTCATATAAAACGGAATTATCAACAGTGTTATAGGGGGGTCGACTATATTGTATATTTCTCATAAATATGAATTATATTGTTATGGTTGTTGCTTTAAAATTGGTATAAAATCGTCATTTTACAAGTGTACCTGATTTTTAGATGGATGAGGTACAATTGTTAAATTTACCTTAAAATTAGTATAAAAAAATCTTTTTTTACCGAAGATCTACTGCAAAAAACGTGAGAATCCTTCGACAAAGAATTAAACTTTTTAAAACTAAACACACAAAATAGCAAGAAAATGAATATAAAAAAATAGGAAAGCCGTATATTGAACTGTTACTAAGTGCTGTCATTGTCATAAATTTAAATAAAAATTAAAATAAATTCAAAAAATGCAAGAAGAATTTACAACTCCATTAATTCTTTTTTTTTTAATTTGTAGAAATTCATATTTTCCAGAAAAAAAATGCATATTTTTCCTCTCTTCTGACGTAGTTAATTCTTAAACAAGCAGTTTTAGAAATGATGTACTCATCGTCTCATTAAAGCTGAGTTTGCCGAACAAATCCCCCATCAACTTAACAATTAATGGACGTATTTGATAATGGCAAGTTTGAATAAGAATTAAAAGAATCTTTTTATTAAGTCAGAGAATTATTTTTTTTCCTCCTTTATTTTTCTCAAATATAACTGCGGATACAAACTTTTATTACTTTTACTTCTTCTGAAGAGTTTCTCAATGATAATGTTTTAAAGAATACGTTTTAAATATAGTTATTTCAATCTTTTAATATTTAATTTTACTTATCCTCCAAGAAATTATTCACGAGGACGTCTCTTTAATGGTCACCTTTGAGACATTTATCAATTCCGCTTCTCCATCACGTTTGAATTCGCGAGAAGCGGCCCCATTTTTTTTCTTTTCTTTTTAAATTTAAAGAAATACCACGAGTTTATTTTACTTTTTTTCCTGATTTTTGTAATTATTTAAGTTAAGTGTTTGTTAATTTTATAAATTTATAAAATAATTTCTTATTGATGAAACGTTTTCGATATTTGAAGAACTTCGATCCGCCATTTTACATGATAATTATGTGCAGCATTTTATAAAATTGTGTTAAATACGTGAATTTTTGTTTATAGCTTATTTTAATAAATACAAATAATCCAATTGTTATTTAAAATGTTAGACGAAAAAGCCGGATTCTTTACCGGGCTATATGGCTACATAATTACTAAGCAATTTGGCAAGAGGCACGCTACCAGGCTGCCATCTCTTGTTAAATATAATAACTATAATTTTTTTAATTAATTTATTTATAGTTATTATATTTGACAACAGAGGGCGACCTGGTAGTCTTCCTCTTGCCAAATTGCTTAATTATTATTTGTCTTTATAGCCCAATAAAGAATTCGGCATTTTATTTTGTATAGCTTTTTTTTTTGTAAATTTTTCTAAATGACAGAATTTCTTATTCATCTTAATATATTATATTACACAAAGCTTTAAAACAGAAGATTCCAGCATTGAACATTACAGGTTAAAGTCAACGTTAAAGTAGGTTGCTAGTATTCAAGCATTGAACAACAATTTGAATATTGAAACATTACAGTATTTCATCAACGAAGGTATACATTTTAACGTTCAAATTACAGCATATGAGGCACATTTCAAAGTACAGTATATGACACTCGAGCATTCAACATGGCGGCATTCTTGAATTTCGGCATTATTTCAGCAAATACATGCTAAACATTGCTCGAGTAATGTTTATTACATTACAATTATTGTTATAATTTATCTTAATATGTGTTTTGTTTTTCATTTTAGATATTTAAAAACTCTAAAAACTGGAACGTACGCTTCGGTCAGGACGTTTCGCCTTCACGATTTACTTGCAAAGTGTTCATCGTTGAGGCGTTTTTGGATAGAAGTAGAAGAACCAATGTTGAATCATCAATTACAATGGACTTTCGGAATAAAACTGAGAGAATTAACAGTAACAGGAGAGAAACTAACAAAAATATTCCCGGATGCATTCTTAGGATTACAAACTCACGAACTGATTTTAAGAATAACAAATACTTCCATTAATACTTTACCAGATGGTTTGTTGAAATATCTCGCTGATGTTCGATATCTAACGCTGGACATACGAGGAAATCAATTATCTTCCATGAAACCTGAAGTACTTGCTTTAAGTAGAGAAAGCTGCACAACTTTCAGCAGTACAAAACATATCATAGGTAAACTCCATATATTTTTTAAAATTTTTCGATTTTATAAACTTTAAATTTTCAAATAAATTGCTTGAAGTTTTTTAAAGTTTTTCTGAGTACAAAATAGTAAGAAATTGATGTGAAAATAATTATTTATTCACTTTTTAAAAATTTCTCTCGTGAGATGGCAGCACTAACTAACGATATTTTTATGGGGGTTTTTAACACGTTGTTTTTTTTTTCGTTGCTTTTTTTCATATATGTTTAAATAATTAAAAATTAAGTAAAAAATTTATAATTTTTAACATTTTTATTATTAGATTTTATACAGTTTCATTACAATTTAACCGTGAAGTGCATCCGTATGAATGTAACATATCGATTACTTAATGTATTAACATAAATTATCTTCTACTTTAAGTAAAAATATTTCAAATAAAATATATTAAAGCTTTTTATTACTTCTAGAGAATTCCTTTCGCCGGAATAACCATTTATTCAATTTAAAAACAATTTTTTTAATATAAAAAAAAACCATTTTTTCTGAAATCTCATTCAAACTTTTTGTTTCAGGTGGCATTATGCTGGAGGATAATCCATGGATTTGCAGTTGTGAAATTCTATGGTTAGGTCATTGGTTAAGAAGATGGATGAGGGAAACTTTTCGAGCTCACATCTTGCCATTTGATGCAGCATTACACGTGCAAAGTTTAGCTAGAAAGAGTATGTGCACCATGCCCGATGGAAAGATGAAGATACCGCTCATAGATTTACGAAGAGAACACCTCGACTGCCAAAATACTACGGATCATCCGCATTTATCTTCGATTTCTTTCATCATCAGCATCTTAACCGCCTGGAAAATATTCATGGGAAGATGATAAGTTCAATGAAAAAAAGAAAAAAAAAACGATCAGCGATTCATCCGAGGCTCAAATCGATCGGATTCATCATAGACTTTAGTGAAGATCACAGAGTTTCAAGGTGAAGATCAAAGGGTTTATTGAGCCGACATATCAGTATTCTATTTGAAGTTAGATCGTGTTTATGAGACAAAACCAAAAAAAAAGAAGAAAAAATATATGTTGAGTGGGTGAAATATCCCACCTCGAAATTCCAAAATTTTATTTTTACACTTTTTTACAGAAAGTAAAAGATGTGTTTCAATGTTTATCTTTCTCGTAGTTTGATTTTTTTCCCTGGAAAGTAGAACGTAGTAAGTTACAAAAGAAAAATCAGAGTTTTTCAAGCATTGGAGCTTCGGTATCTTAAGGGCGATCGATATCAGTCTCTACATCACAAAATCGAGTGGTGTAGAATACGGAATGTACAATTTTATTTTGTACATTTGATGTGAATACTACCCACATCCCGATTGAAATTACTGACATGGGAACAGAATAGACTTGTATCCGAGTTTGGCTTGTCGTTAGATCTATCCACTCCTGTTGTATATTAGACCAACGTGGGGAATTACTTGCTATACCTAATCCCAAGAGGTTATTGACTGTAAAGCTGTAAAATGAAACGTTTGAATCACGAAATTTAACTAGTCATTCGCGTGATGATTGTCTTACATGTTATTACAACATTAAATGGTTCATTTAAGCAATTTATTAAGTCTTTCAGGCATATTAGATACCGTAGTAGCAGGTTTATTCGTTTTATTTTTTGTCTTTTTTTGTAATTTTTAATACTGTGTTTAAATTAAAGTTACATTTAAACGGTGTAAACATAACTAACAATAACAGAATAGGAAATATACAGGCGCCTTGTATCCTCATTAGGCCTTGTATGTTATGTCTTCAAAATATATTTAGGATTTCTCTCTGTGAATGTCCGAGAACATTTTAAAAAACTGCTAAATGGGATAGTCAAAGTTCCCGAAGCATTTTCTATGAAAAAAGGACTGTCATATAAGGAAATTAAATAAGAAATTCAAGATTTTATGGAATAAAATTTACTATAGATTACAGACCCATGCACAGGATTTTTAAAGGGCGAAGTTTTAATTTAGTGGATTTAATTTATTAAATTTTTTTAAAATTCTTCTCAAATGGAGAGCGTTAAAACCCCCAAATCACCGCGGGCACGGCCTTGAAAGAGTGTAACATTCACACAAAGATCTTCATAATAGATAAGTAGTGTTATCCTTCGGAATGTCCTCAATGAGAACTGCAGGACTTAACAATGATAAAGTACGTTTCTCGATTGCAATTCGGGATAAAGATCAACGTTTCGACTTAATCCTTAAAACAGAAAACGAAGTATCGGGATCAGAGAAGGGTGAAGATGGAGCGAGAAAGAAACTGCGCTACCATCATTTGGAAAAATAAAAAAGAGTAAACTAAGAATTATTTTTTTATTTTGAAATATAATAATAATGGATAAGCCACAGCAAAGAAATATTTTCTTTAAAAACCTCAATAAAACACAATTAGTAGCCCAATAAAGAATTCGGCATTTTATTTTGTATAGCTTTTTTTTTTGTAAATTTTTCTAAATGACAGAATTTCTTATTCATCTTAATATATTATATTACACAAAGCTTTAAAACAGAAGATTCCAGCATTGAACATTACAGGTTAAAGTCAACGTTAAAGTAGGTTGCTAGTATTCAAGCATTGAACAACAATTTGAATATTGAAACATTACAGTATTTCATCAACGAAGGTATACATTTTAACGTTCAAATTACAGCATATGAGGCACATTTCAAAGTACAGTATATGACACTCGAGCATTCAACATGGCGGCATTCNTATATTTTTTAAAATATCGATTAATTTAAAATTTACATGCTTAATGCTAAGAACGACAAATTATATGATTACATAGATTACGCCCTTGCCATTAGATGGCGCCTTCTGTCTACAGTTGTTCACATATCTACTATCAGATGGCGCTTCAGTTCTTTCAACAGAAGTAATATAGCATTTATATTGTTTTTTTTAGGTTTCCTTTTTCTATTGTTTATTAATTAAAAAATAAGCACGAACACAATGAAATCAAGTTAAATTTTTTAAAGATTATCACAAAAAACTTTCTTAAATATAAAATATCTTATTGTAAACTTTATTTGCGTCTTAATATTAAAAAAACAGCTGGCAAAGACTCTTGCTCAACTTTCCCAGCACTCGAATAGGAGATTAAGTTTCTCCATCCACGCTGGATCCGGGTTCGAATACGTTATAATTTTGAGACGATTCGGTGTAAAGGCTCCAAACTCTTTCAAATTACGATATTATCAATGTAAAGTATCGAAATCTTTTTGGTAAGAGGGGGAAAAATTTTTTTTTATTCGATCACACAAAAACCTAAAAATTTATCTATATTTTAACTAGCTTTAACGAGGTGTGTTGCAGAGAGCCGTAACGTGTACAAATGTACTGTAATGTATTGACAGTAATGTGATTAATATCGCAATTCAAATTATGATTTAACGTCTAATCAATTCGAAACAATGCGACGATATTTCACACCGTTTGGTTCTATAGATTAAACGAGAATGCTCTTGGCAGGCAGATTGATTAACAAGCTTTAACATTTAGAGAAACACGTAATTCTAGAATTATGTATGTTATTTTTAGTACGTGAAATGAAGTTTCTAGTGTTACTACTCTGTTAAAGTCGTCTTTCCATAGACGTAAGATACATCATTACTTATAATTCTAATGGAGAATTTGTCTGTTCGAGTAATTTTTTCATTTAGTATTTCGTGTCTGCATAAAGGACTCTCAAAGAATTATTTTTTTTACAGATGTTTCCTATTAAATCGATGGTCCTACTCTTAAGCCAAACAATAAAGATGAAGCACACCAAACACCAATATAAGGCATTGCCTCATTTATAATTTGTGTAATGTTGAAGTTGCACTTGTGATTTGCATCAAACTATTTTGTGTGTATCTATCTGAAGACTGATTCGATTCAGTTTAATGGGACATGGCAATGCAACACGTGGGTGATCTCTCGAATGGATCGACCATGTGTCGTGTGGCCTCCGGGTTTTTCTATGTGAAACTGGCTCCCGTTTGGGTGCCACTCATAAAGACCCGAAAACTCTGCACCACTGGCTTGTCGTAAACCTGCGGAATTCGGTGTTTTATCTGTTCGGCCACCGGCAGGCCTTCGTCCGAAGAGGGCATATACTTTCTATGTAATCCAAAACACTTTATGAAAATTAAAGTATTTCCAATGTCGTCAGGAATCTTTAGGTGTGACAAGAATACTATTGATAGTTCAATATGTTGGTTCTTCTTTACATTCTTTGGCTAATTGTAAAATTCATTGTCTGCATTTCTGAAGAACTAGTAATTAATTACTCATTATTTTGTATCATTACTCAGAGATCCAAAACAACATACTGTATATGCTTTTCTAAAGTATTTGCTACTGGTTACAGTACTCTTAGAATCAATACAATAAAGGGAGAATAATAAATGTATGTTGATTATTGATTACTATTGCATATGTTCTGTGATCAATGGTCAAGTCATTTATTATTATAAAATTTAATAATTAAAATAAATAAATAAATATATTTTTAATATTCACTCAAGTATCTATTGATTTAAATTACAAAGTGAAGTGTTTTAACCATTTTTACCTTAGGCAGTAAGAATGTAGGAGCTTGCTTTTTGACAGCCAGATGGCCAAGTAGTTAGGGTGGCAGCCTACCACTCTGGGGACTTGGGATCAAATCTGGTTGGGTCAAAAAACCCCAGAATTTTTTGTGGATGGTGGTCTAAATACATTGGATCCCATCCCCCATCACTTGGCTACTTCTGTTGTGGGCCTGGGCAAACCCATAATAGTCTTCTTTTTTAATAAGCCCAAGATGGCTTTTGCCGGGCCTTCTTAGTGTCCATGGGTGGAGTTTTAAAAAAGTAAGAATATAAAAATTTTTTTGCATAATTGTTATGGGTTAATGGTGATGACTGAATGGGTATGGGGTCCAAAATTTTCAGACTACTGTCTGAAAAATTACTGACACCATTCTAAACTCAAAAATGAATTTCTCAGAAAAAAAGGAATACTCTAATTGCACTGATCATCTGGCTGTCAATAATAAGAGTATAAAAATTACCATAGCCATTAAAGAATACATAAACAACAAATAATAATTCCCAAACTAAGAAATTTCCTTCACTAACCCAATCCTGAAATCAAAAACAAACGAAAAGAAATAAAAGCTTAAGAAATGAAGCAATATGCAAAACGAATTTGGCTGAGATCTGAGTCACTACAGTTGGTAACAAAGCACACGTTTGAGATCAAACACGTCCTTTGGTCTCAACTAATAATAAAAAAAAAAATCCACATTTAAAAAAGTCTCAACAGAAAACCCCATTATAATAGGCATGAAATTATAAATGTTCTCACAAAACTCAATCTTTCCATAATGCAAACTACAATAATTTAAACAAACCTGCTTAACCTTATCTATTCAAACAAAACACAAAACCATAAAAATAAACCATATAACCTAGCATAAACCCCATTAAAACCTTCTGAGTCCAAATACAATACTTAATTGGGCTGCAATTTGAAAATTGCAGACTTATATGTTCCCACTGTCGTCCGTCCTTCATCAATCCAGAGAGCGAAGTTATATAAAAATTGCAATCAGATATGAAAAATTTAGGGGATGGAGGCTCCAATTATATATTTAATACCATATATGAACCTTTGGTCTAGATTGAAAGTCACATTTTAAAAAAATTAAATGATTTAAAATGTCAGCCTGGCATTGTCATGATGTTACACTAAATAATTGCTTGTTTTTAATGTTTAAATTTTATAATTTGTAATTTTTGTAATGCTTAGCTTTGTTTTGTAGTGTAAAGAGGGCATACAGCTGAAAAGTGTAATATAAATAAAAATAAAGCTATTAAAATTAATTGGAAATCTTTTGACAGTGATACAATTCTATAGATTCCATTTACTTGACGTATCTTCAAAATTATCATCATACAATTAATGTATCCTCTAGTAAACATAGATTTGGGTGTCCGTAAAGTTACTGTGCAGTGAGAAATTTGTAATGACATTAAAGTTATAAGTATTGCATATGAGACCTATAAGTTGTATGTCCCATATTTCCACTTTGTGGTAGATGACATTATGACTTGCTCAAGATGTTCTGGTTTTTCTTTGCCAATCACATAACCTCCTGTGAAATCTGGCCTGCTAAGTCTCCAGCTCTTACTTCCCCAAACTTTAGAGTCTTTGGGGATATTTCTGGCATTTGCCATAGGAGAAACTGCAATACCATACATAAAATTTCATTTGTATTAATACTTTACTTAAACCTTTTCCATTTCACAGTAATTTTTCAGACGCCTGGTACCGATAACATTCAAACAGTAAACTTAAATCTTACAATAGTTTTGATAAACAAAGTTTTGAAAGTTGTGTGTTTTTACTACTTAATCAAATGTAATTACAATTTTTTATGGATTAACTAATTATTATTTAAATGATAGGCACAGCTTAAGGTTATATAGCTAACTGCAATTAAGTCCATTCCAAGTACACCTATTGCTCTGATGTGTGTGAATGAATTCCATGTAAAATGTTTTATACATACAAAGTTTATGCAAACTTGATTGAAGACTTTGGTTAAATAATTATTACAAACAAAAGAAGGGTGAAAATTAATTTATTACTGTTCAAAATACTGTGCCAAAATACAATTTGCTGCTAAAAAAAAGTGAAAATAAAAATTATTTTAACAGCAAAATGACTTTATACTACAGTATTCTAATTCTATAATATATGTTTGATGATTTACAATAAACAATTTAATAGATGAAGAACGTTTATATGTTGGGAAAAATAGAAATTAAAAACACCTTTACTTAACTGCTAGGGTTTACTTTTTATCTATACGAAATGTATTTAAATTTCCTATTACATATAAACTCTAAAAAGAGATGTTAATCGTATTTCGAAACAATTTTCACCATGCCATATAACGAGAGAACACGTAAAATGTCAACGCATTGTAAACGTGACATAAAACTTTCATCTATTGCAAAGTACTAATTCCCACCAAACACTCAATCTAAATGTTTGAACATCAAAAATGCAATTGTGTTTTGTACATGCGTGAATTGTATCACTAAAATGCAAATCATATTGTATTTATTTATAGATAAATATAATATCTAATTTTAAATTCAAATAAATAAATTTTAACTGAATCAAAACTACATATGTTTTAAAAATGAAACATATTTAACACATACATACACACATACACGCACACAAATTATATATATATATATATATGCATATATATTATATACATACATACATACAATACATATATATTTTATTTATTTATAACAAGCTATAGATTCAGATATTTTGCATATCTGATATGCCTAAAAGTTTTCACCTATAGCCTGTAACTACATTTAAATTGCATGGTTTTTCACATATAAATACTTAATGCATATTAATTCTGATTTTTCACAAAAATAAGAATGGAAAATAAATTACTGTTGTCTATTTTAAACCCTAGCAGTGTGTTAAAAAAGTGCTATTTACTATCCAATTACAAAATACAGATTCATTTGATTATGTCACAAATCACTCATTCTTCATACTGAACAAATGCCAAATAAACTGGAGGGCCCAATTTCTTAGAAGGAATTACTAACTGTGCATTAAAATAACTACTCTCCAATCTGGTGAAACAAAGGCATGGTATTCTATTTTTTCTTTTTTTTTTTTTCTTTTTTTAATCACTCCATATTTATCCAGTTAGTTTACTATACATTTCCACCATAACTGCATGGTGAACTAATAGATTGCAGACATTCACGCATTACTTTTCCTGCATATACAGTATATTTGTATACATATATATAGTAGATAACTTAATTGCTATGTTAGGATTGTTGAGAATAAGTGGCTTTACGGACTTCATCGATAGCCTGACACCACTTGAGGGCAAATCCATTTGGGTCTTCTAAATAATAGGTACGGTTTGGCTAAAACAAGGGGAAAAAAATGAATTTCTTTGAAATGTTTTATAGTAATTTACATGTAATAAATATGAATCAGAACACTTACAGTATGAACAAAAAACGTTTTGAAGTTTTTTGGTTCTGGCCTTAATTCTGGAGACCTAAATAAAAACTAAGTTATCAGAATACATCAAAATCACACTAATATAAAATATAAAAAAAATTAATTAATAACTGAATGTTCTTAAAAAAAATATATTTTTGAAGAAAGTCTATAACAGTTCTAAAAATTTTTTATAAACTAACTGCTTTTTTTAATGCAATGAAAATAATTTTAACTGATTTTTTAACAATAATTAATAAAATAAAAAAAGATTATTATTAAAACAATTTTTGTAAATTAGAAAAACTGAAATCTTAAAAATACACATTAAATGTAAGTTTTCGATACTATTAGCATAGTATTTAAATATACAGATGCTCATTGAAAGTTCACACATTTTAAAAATAATATAAATCGTAAATTAATTCTATGAGGTGGGAAAGAAATGCTGGAGGTTGCAAACACAATCCAATTAAAATAATAATAACCAAATTATATCATGTTTATATTATTTAGCCTATGATAAAATTGGGTTTCATTATAAATAACTTTGGTTCATTATAAATAACTTTCATTATAAATAACTTCCTCGCCCGAATGTCTTAATGCCACAGTTTCCAAGAACCTATCGATTGTTGAGTGAGGACTTGCTGTAATTGGAAATGAGACCAATTAAATATCAATTATAAAAATTAGATTTAGAAATTTTGGGATTAAAATATTTTCAATTTTTAAGATAATATAATTTATATAACTACTTTTAACAATCACCAAAGACTACACTATAAATGCACTTCAAAAAAGAGTTAAACTACTTCATCAAAAGTTTCTGATGAAGGAAGAATAATTCCCAAATTAAAGACAACCAATTTATTTCCTTGAGAAATAGTTCCAGTGACTGTTTGCACACAAATATACAATTGAAATAATATCATCAATCATTTTCAACAACACTAATTAAATCTAACTGCCATTTAAATTATCAGTTATCGGGTTAATTTTTTTCTTGTACTAATTTCAGTTAACAAATATCAGATAGGATTTATTTTAGTTTAAAATTCAAGTTACTAAACAAAATGACTGTCATTATATTTGATAACAAAAATTTTTAAAAATGACCAATTAGTAACTTTTTATGTAAATAAGAATTCATAGATTGATATGAATACAAATATTAGTGAATTCCTTGCTTGTAACCTTCATTTTTTTAAAAAGTTGTGACCATTTTATTTTTGGATACATTTCGATGTAAAAATTTTTCACTAAATTCACAATAAAATATTTTTATTCTCTAAAAAACTCAGTGGTTTTTACATTCTTTCTCATTTTCATCTTGAAGTTACTATAAAAAACAATTTTTGTTAAATTCCATCATTATCAAATTCAAAAACACATATTAATTAGTCAATACATGTTTCCTAGTAGAGACCTTTGTTCCTTTCTAAATAACAAATGAAAGATTCATAAGGCATTGAAATAATCATCTTTCATCTTGCATTAAATTTTTTATTAAACAACCAACCAATAAACACTTAACTGGCTTCTGCTCAACCAACCATATACAGTGGGTGATCAGTTAACGAACAGTTTGGATTGTGAACAAATCAGACAACGAACACCTCATAGAACAAATACAAAAAGAAGCGACGTAAAACAGTGAATACCGATTAGTCTTCCCTTGTCTCCAGGTGACAGTTCGAAACCTTTCGGAGCTTGGGAGATGTTGACATCAATGCTCAACCCAAAATCGATCAGATAGTATTCCTCCAAACTTTGAAACTATCCCTTGTAATTCCAGCCTTTTGTTTACCTTTCTGACAAAGGATTTTTTATAGTCTTTGCAAGACTATCAGGTGGGCACTCATTAAGTTTTGCATTGATTTTTCTTTTAGAAAGTCAAGAGTTTAACTGTCCATCGGATATTTGTTAACATTTTGACATCAAAATTTGAATTTCATCTGGGTCTCACATTTATATAATTTTTCGTGTGCTAGTTGATTTCTGTTCTCAGAATTTTTGTAAGTGCTTTTCTGAACTTCTTATTTAAAAAAGAAACTGATAATATTATGGAGCCTAAAAAGAGGAGTGTCAAGAACTGTGCTCACCATAGAAACCAAGTAAGCGATAATAGCCAAGGTAGAAAGTGGGCACAAGATGTCTGATGTTGCTAGGCAGTATGGCTTGAACAGGTCTACAGTAGGCACAATCTTAGCTATGAAAGAAATAAAGAGTATTTTAGAACTCATAATGGAACCTGAAACTGATCTGATGACAAAAGAACTCCAAGAACTCTCAAATGAAGAATACCAAGAAACTCAGTGAGATGTGTTTCTTGAAAAAGAGGAAGACAAAAGAGGACCAATGCCAACACCTGCTATTAAAGATCTTTTCAAGAAGTACAAAGATATCAGAACAATGGTCATCCAAACCTGATTGAGGTTAATAGGCTTCGAGATCTCTAAAAAAACAATGCTATTAATTACTTCTGAAAAATCCTGAAGAAGAAAGAAAAGCAATCAACATTGGACAATTGTTTAACCCCACAAATAGAATAAAAACATGACTGATAAAAATGCAAGATTGTGCACATATGCATTTTTATTATTATATATAAATAAACATAGTAAGAAAGTATATACAGGCAACCCCCTTATAACATGGCACTTCTATAGCACGGATTCACTCTAACACGGTTCGAGAATTGGGTAAAACTCTCATACAACATGAAATATAATAAATTTTTACATACTTATGTAAATTTTCTTTTTCCCGCCTTCTGTCGATACACATGGTCCTTCTCGAAACTTGTTTCATGTTGCCAGATCTCAACACTTCTAATTTTGGTGTTGCCAGATGTTTTTCCCTTATTCCATACTTGCTTTATTCTTCATAAGTGCTTAGCACCATATAAGGAAATTTATAAAAACCTTTTAACTAAAAAGCAAGCAATCTAAAATAGCATATGTTTTGCAAAAGGTAGAGCATGGATCTGAAGATAATGCAGAAAAATGCTCAGAGGATAAGGATATCTTGCCAAAAAGAAAACGCCCTTGGTTAATAGTGCTTAGTGATGATGAAGAAAACATTGCTTAATTTATATTAATATGTATCACTTAAGAAAATTTTAATAAAGATATTTATCTTAATTATGAAAATATAATAGCATGTTTTTTTAATTTTTGGAACCTAACCCCCCTTTTTATACTAGTTCTTTGTTTTGTATAACACGGATTCGCATAACAGCAATTTTTTGGAACATAACTCCCGTGTTATATGGGGGTTACCTGTAATTTTTTATTTTTGGGGGTCCAGAACAAATTAATCAAATTACCATAAAAATCTATGGTAAACTGATAATCAGTTAACAAACAATTCAGGTAGAGAACACAGTCTTGGAATGGATTATGTTTGTTAACTGATCACCCACTATATAAAGTATTTAAAGGTTAAACTATATACACATCATTTAACAGAAAAAAACAATAAATAGAACAGAGGAAAAAAATGTGCACAATGCATTCAGCAAACCACAGCTTAGAAATATATAAATCTGTGTGTTTAGTTAATATATAATTTATATTTGTCATTTGTTTGATTTTAAAAGTAATTAAATTATGCAGGCTTCTATATGATTTTCCATTGCATATAATGGTAATAAAGATACTCTTATTAAAAATTTTAATTTCTTATATAATTAAATGTGATTTAAGTAGAAAATCAAAATACTTGCCAAGGAATTTGCCCTTTCAATACCATATTTGTAGGGTCTACATAATAAAGATGAGGACCTGTTGTTAATAGTAGCATTCGTCTTCTTGCAAAGAGTCCCTAAAAATTTATTACATTAACATTCGTAAATTGAGAAGAAACATTGATAAAAATGTGTACGCACATTTATACATACATATTGATAATGCATAATACTTTATAATTGAATTAATATAATTTTTATAATTTAAATAAAACGTTTATGGGCAGCGTTTATGGTCGGCACTTTTGGGCGTATTTTAAATTGTTTACTCTTTTGCAGATGCTTACCACCAGGAGGTGTAAATTAACTATTTAAGTGAACGATTTAGTGTTTGAGAGTTGGCAGCGTTTATGGTCGGCGTTTTTGGGCGTATTTTAAATAATTGTTTACTCTTTTGCAGGTAAGCTCACTGGTTTGTTTCGTCATGTCTAAAAGGAAGACTTATTCACCAGTAAGTCAGTTGGATAGTAGATCTAAGATTTTTCATTCTGACCCATTGGAGAAGATGAGTATCCTGGAGTTACTTCAGGGAGAATTGGATATTAAGGATGGGATATTGCTACTTATTCAGCTAAATTTAAAGCAGAATAAGAAATTGGAAGGAATGATTGCTAAGATTGATAGAATCTACTCGTGGGTAGAAAATTTTGGACGAAGCTATTGTTAATCTAGAAACTAGATTAGAAGATTTAGAGAAAAAATTTACATACGATACCGATAAAATTCTATCGGACGATAGAATAGATTTGGAAAACAAAATGGCCGAGTTCACATTAAGTCAGGAGCGGTTTGAGTGTTTCTTAAGGCGTAATAATTTAATAATTTCTGGTTTACCTGAGTCGGAAGATGATAACTTGCAAGTTAAAGATGTAGTATTGGAATTTTTTCAAAATAAATTAAGTGTCGATAACGTTCGTTTAGAGCAGTGCTATAGATTGGGACAACAACGGAAAGATAGTATTAGGTTGATTTACTGTAGTTTTTTGGACTATGGTGATAAATGTAAGATTAGAAGAGCGGCATTTAAATTAAAAGGAACCAGGATATTTATAATGGATGACCTTCCTCCTTTAACTAGACACATAAGGAAAACAATGAATGATTTTGCAAGAGAAAAAAAGAGATTGGGTGCTTCAATTACTTATTTAAATAATAGAAATGCAGTTAAAGTTGATAATAAAATTTATAAATATAATATAGTTTCTAAGAAATTGGAAGAACAAATGTCAACTTGACTGGGAGTAGGTACGTCGGTACTTTCATGGAATTGTGAAGGTATTGTAAATAAGCCTATCTCTTTTTGGAATTTTTTGTATACTTTTGATATAATTTTTTTAATGGAAACGTGGTGGGATGGCAGGTCTGCTATTCCCAATTTGCAAAATATGGATAAATTTTCTGTTTTTTCGGAGGCAGGTTATCGAGAGGCTGATAGAGTGCGCTGTATTGGTGGCTGGTTGTTGTTATTGTCTAACTCTTGGAAAGTAAATATCTTGGAAAAAGATAGGCATTGGATTGTTGTGGAATTGTCTATAGGGCCTATAGTAATTTCTTTCTGTTTTATGTATATAAGACCTGCATTATGGAATTCTATTTGGACAGAGGTAGCTAGGTTGGTTAATTGTTATAAGATAGACTTTTTAATTGGTGATTTTAATGCTCGCATTGGAGTAGAACTGCAGGAATGGATTTATGAAGCTAATGAGAATATTGATCAGGATTGGATGTTGAGGTCATCAAAAGATACAGTATTAAATAAT